TTTTTTTCCACCCAAAGTGCCTTAAAGAAGAGTTAAGGCTGGAGAAATTTAGGAAATGATGATTCTACCTCCCCAAAACCAAATACTGACCTTCAGACTGCCTATGAGATAAACTTTAAGAGAAAATTGATGCTCACAAATTGCACAGTTATGAAATAACATTATTCTGAGGCAGCTACTGATATAGAACAGAGCTCTACCTGTTTCATGCCATGAAAGCCATCCATTTTGAGCTATCTGACAGCAATCCAGAGCCAACTGGAAAGCCTCTCTGATCTTTTGTACCGTGTGACTTCATTTATCTTCAGTAGCTTTTATCCATTTCCTAAAAAACTGAGGAGGAACACATTAGTCCATTTCCTTAGGCACCCAGGACCTGCAGTGTAGCACCTGTACTCAGGTTACAGGCAACAGAGACATTAATGTCAAAGATACAGATCTAAGAGTATGTATGACTTACAGCAGGCCTACTGAAGGCAGTAATACTCTCAAGAAGACATGCACAAAATGCAGTGGTTTTACTACATGTTTACCAATTTCTGTACAAATCCTATTTCAGGAAGTACGTCTCGGTTACATTATTCAGAAAAAACTTCCTGCATATTGAGGTAAAGGGCCTCCTCCGACCTTCATTTCTTCCTTTGACATATACAAGAGATAAAATACCAAATTCATTGAGAACAGCTACACTATCTATTCATTTGCACCTCATCTCCATGGTTCTAGCGAGGTCCATCTAGAGTCCATCTAGGTTGTGATTATGTGTATCCCTGTGATACTACATTATGGGCTGGATGGATTAAAATCTAGACATACAATTTCTTTTTTAGCTTCATGCTTAAACCAAAAAAAAATTTATTAGACACAATAGGACATTCAAAACTGCATAATACCTCTTATGGATTCTCTGTTAAAGGTTTTTTTTTTTAATTGTATTTCCCATTCAAGTCATGTTTCAGTTCTGAACCTGTTTGCAAGCTTATAAATAGTGAAAAGATTGGGCAACATTTGTTGATGCTGGTGCAAAACAAATCATAAATATTTTTGAGGAATCTTCTAATAAGGATTCATTTTATTTACACTGCATTAAATATTTAACACTTCTGTCTTTTAACATGGATTTGCATTTTGTTATTGCTTCATGAAATACTGAATTAGCAATAATTCTCAGGCAGCAGGAATTCCATGATTTAATCAAACATACATCTGCTTCTATAATCAGTTCTAATACTACTGCTCTCTTAGTTGCAGTAAATACTTTTTTTGCAGTTCCATAAAATTTTTGAAGTGTAATAGGATATTCTGAGTCTCATGGTTAAACATGACTTGGCTATCCAGAAGACACAAAATGTTAATGAGCAGCCCCCTGGGCAGAGAAATAAAAATAGCCCATCCTCTCACAGAAACAAGCAGAGTAGCTGCATGAGAAATCATGTCAAGGTAACATCATTTTGGAGATTAGAAATCCCATTCAGTTTAAATGAACTCAGGTTCAGAGAAATGCTTCCAGAAGCCTTTCAATGTCTCAGACAGCCTTCCAAACAAAACCCCCCATAATGCCAAAGTAATTTAGATGAGGAAAATGTAGACCTTCTAGGAAGCCTCTAGGAAAAAAATGTTGGAAGTCTTTGTTACAAATCTTCATCCAAATCACAGTAGAGCAAAACAGACCTGTTTGATGTTGAAGTTGTGACGAAAATAGTAACTTACAGTGGAAGGTAAAACTCAGTGCACATTCAGGGGAAAGTGCTAAGGGGACAAGAAAAAGTGGGAATGCATAATCTTTTCACAGTCCTATGCAGTGCACTATGCTAATCAGAGGCTGTAAATAATAACAGAAGAGTCATTCAGGTCAAGGGAACACAAGTGAATTTAAACAATTGTACTGTGCATAGAAACTGTGGAAATGTCAGTGTCCTTAATGAAGAAAACATCCAAACGTCCTCCCCAACAAAAAAACAAACCAAAACAAGAGAGTTGGTGGTGTGTCACAACTGATCTGAGGAGGAAGGGAACTGGGCCATCTCTTCTAGGGAAACCACGCATCAGGATGAGCAGTCCTCTGATTTACAAGAGACTGAACCCTGCTGCACAATTTAGTTGTTGTAACTTCAAAGAAAAAAGAGACAGTACTAATTAACAAAAAATTAACCAGCAGATGAACCACCTGTGGTACTGCAATTTGCAAGTTAAATTTAGCCATCTGGGATTTCCCAGTTTATTTGGCATTCTGAAATTTATTCCTTGAAGTAGCTTTACATCTACTGCCATTTCTTGTGCCCCTTTCTCTTTCAAAGAAAATGAATATTATAAATATTTATAAATATGCCCTTAGCAAACTGTGCTCCTTTGGTTGCTGCTGAAATACATACCAGTGAGTAGATCTATTAACAAAAATTGTCCAGGCTAAACCAATAAAACAATAAAACATATCTCATTCCCTATTTACAGTGAGGAGCAAGTGTCAGAATCTTCAGAATCTTCAGAATCTCTTCAGTCAAGGTCATATTTGTTGTGAGTGGCATAGCCCTGACTTGGGGCTACTATGAAGAAACAAGAATTCACTACTATGAAGAAACAAGAATTACATAATAAGTGCATAATAGTAAGTCATGTTTTGCTCATTGTGTGCGTTGAAGGTGGGGTAAGAAAAGTCATAAAAAACCTGAGGAGACTATGCATTCCATTCACTCTTGTAACACCTTGTTCCCAGAATATTGAGGGTGGTTTGTGGTTAGAAGTTTTTGGAGGCTGCTTGGCTGTCACTATTTCACTCAGCTTACCTGCCAAAATTAGGAGACAGAACTAATTCACGATTAGTCAGTGATTGCAAAATCGGTTTACTTCTGTGGAACATCAGAACAGTTTAACCTCAGACAAAATAAAACTTTTCATGTGCCTTTCCCTCAAATTTACACAAAACCAAAATGTTGATAGTGAAAATTCTAAACTGCAGTATTTCATTTGAAAAAGTAGTTTTCCTAAGCTCCTCCATTTTACACGAGTTTTTTCCCCTCAATTTAAATATAAGTTTATTGTTGACTTTCCACAAAATATGATTTGTATCCAGGAGATTTCCTTCAAATTCCTGCATTGTGATGTTGAACAAGAATTTCCTATTGTGTTTCCAGGTAAAAACTCTGTTTTAAAAACTCCTTTTGATTCAGTTTTACTCTAGACTGGATTGCCTCAAACTGCTGGGGAAGAAATGCCACTAGGGCACAATGGTGCAAGTCACAGTTATTGAAAGGAAACCTTAAGGAGTTTAAGCTTGCTTCTGTTTCAGAGAGAACGAGGTTCAAGGCGTGTTTGTATTAGTTGTAATTTGTCCCATTATAGAGCTGCCTAAAGGTACATAACTCAGAGTTTGATTTGCATTTGATTTTCCTCAAAGGAGAAAGATGCAGATGCAACATTTCAAACATAGCCCAGTTCTATACTAGTGCAAATTATTTATCCCAGGAGCTTCTATAAGTTTCTTAAGGTAATCAAAGTCATTGCGAATATACAAAGAACATGAAACTCCTAGTCATAGAAATTTAACTTCACATAATTATGCATGAGCTATCATGGATAACAAAATATGAGATAAGAGTGGAGTAGTGAGTCCCAATGACACTAATTTAAGAAAAAGACCTACAGTGTAACTGTAAAAATACAGGACTTTTTGAAGGGTGTTTGAAGTAAAAATGTAAATGTTTGTGAGGTAAAGATTTTTCTTAAAGTAAAATTAGTAATACCGGCCAAAACAAAAGTACCAAAAGGAGAGATCTCAAGATATCTGTGTCACTTCCAATCTGTTTTATTGTGTTTATTTAATAGCTAGCACTGTCACATTCTAGTTCTAGAATGGGACTACTACACAGCCCTCAAAGATTAAACAAAGCAAGAAACATCACAGTGAAAATTTAAAATCTAAGTAGAAGCCTATCATACCTTACTTAAATACAAGTGGGAGTCTGTTATTTTCTGTTTGCTTTGCCAGTTTCTTCATTTAGCAGTAGTTGTAGTGCAAATATGTCTTACATAATTTTTTACTCTAAAAAATAATTTGGAAACGTAATCTGTCAAATATATTTTTATCTTTTGTAAGATTGTGAATATTAAAAATGAAACACCCTCATTTGTTCAGATGGTTGATTTTTCTATTGTTTCTTTCTCTCTTTTTCCATTTTTTATTCTTTTTTTTCTGGTAAGAGGAATGAGAAAGGAAGGCAAAATCCCCTTTGTTATCATAAAAAGAAATATCACAAAATCATTCATTTTATAAAAATACTTTCTCAAAAAAGCCTTTTGTATAGGTCTCATTGTTATATGTGTTCTTCACATCCCAGTGAAGCTATAAAATGTTCAAATTAGTACAGTAGAGCAAATAGCTATAGAAATTAAATTAGCTGTAGATTAGTTGTACAAAGGTTCACAATAAAGCTGCTTCCTGCAAACTCACAGCGAAACTGCTTGTTGAGTTAGTGATACCAAAAGCCTTTCTTTTGTACTATAATCAAAAGGCAAGTTCCTGGGTTTAGTCCTTTTTGTCATAAGGGTGGGGTACACAACAATAGCAGTGAGGTAGAAATCCATCCTGAGCCATTGATCTCACCTGCCTAGGCTGGATCACGTCAGCCTGCAGATTTCATTCTCTATTTTTTTTTTTTTTTTTTTTTTTGCAACTGCTAAATAGTACTCGCTTCTCCCTGTTTCTGCTGCTGTTTTGTTCATATTTATCTAGGAATATATCAGAAGTTTTGTGTCTGGAGTTATTCCAAGAGAGCAGCATATTTGACTTAGTTCAGAATAACCTGCCTGTCTCAGCTGAGGCCAGTCACAGCATAATGGCATAGGAAGTGATAAAAGTGTGGGCTTGCTGTGCATTTAATTAGCAGAGAAGGGAAATGGAAATACACTTCCTTGAAAAAATTGTAAAAAGCAGGAAAAAATTTGTTCTAATGCAGTAACAGCTTCATCTGGACTAATTTAATCACTCAGTTCATATGAAATTAGACCTGAAATTGTATAAAATACCCCTTGGAACTCTATCAATTTAACTACTCCTGGAAGTGTAGCAAGAGAATCATGTTTCACATTCTTGCAGCCAAAAAAAGTGTGGATGTTTATAAATTATTCTATTCTATTAACCCTTCTCATCTTGTGGGTGTTCGTGCTTTCAGATGCATAGAACCAATCTATATTTTTTCACTTATAGTAAGTTTTAGTTTGCTGGCGAAACGGACATTGCCTGACACAGGAGTCAGTGAGAAGAAACCTGATCTGCTTCTATTTTACTTTCTGTAGGTATCTTGTTACCTAGTGAGGCTCTTGCATTTTTTGCAGGTTAAATATTTATGTACACAGTGTGGGAGGTTTTCAGAAAATACCAGAAGTTAACTCTTATCTCTCTGGAAACACTGAGAAACAGGCGGATAACCATGGATGAAGGTAATTATTTGAGACTTAGTGTGTACTTAGTAAAAACGAGAAATGTTTGTGTATGTTACTTTGTGACACACAGCTATTGAGAGTGGGAGGGTGGAGCGAGGCTACTATCTCATCAAATAAATTGAGTGCAAAGTGTAAAGAGGACAACCATCTGTTTTTCAGGGAAAGAAAAGAACTCACTCATATGAAATACATACTAAAAGAGCTAAGTCCTTTACACAGCAGTAGGATAAGCACAAATGAATGACAATAGTTTTAAACACAGCTAATTATTTTTCAAAAGCTGTCTTGCTAACTTAGGAAATATGGTTTTGAATGATAGGGATAATTTGGAAAGTTGTGTATGTGTCTTCATAAACATTTAGAAAAGTGTAATAAATTAGGAAAAGTCACCATTCTAATTAAAGTCACTGCAGGTTTTACAAATAGTTTGTGATTTTTTAGAAAAACAGGCCTGACTTTTCACAGTTCAACAAGTTATTGAATATTTCAGACATGACACTCATGTAATTTCAGAAAATGCAATCTTAGAAGATGAGCAAGAGAGATTGTACAGGGGAATCATCAATGGGCTGATAAATGTGGCTTCTGGTGAAAGTCTGAAAAGTGGAATGATGTTAATAATGGAAGAATCTTTAGTTGTTTCTCAGAAGACTGAATTCAGAAATCTTAAAAAAATTATCTATTTGATTGTAGGACAGGAAGCTATGAACTTAAGGAAAGGGAGTTTCATTTGCATTTTAAACATAAATAATTTTCACCATAAGTGATTAAAAATTGGTTAAATAGGTCCTAATTTCTTTTTTACCATTATTTTATTTAGGGCTTTTTTTTTTTCTAACTTAGACCTTTTCTCAAACCCTTACATCCCTGCTGCTTATTTCTTCCCTGAAATGTTAACTCCTGATTGCTGAAAAAAGATTAACCTGCAAGGCAAATAATTTTTCCCATTGGATTCTGCCTCAAAGAAGAGATGATGAGGTCACAACCAAATAGAAATAATATTGCCAAAAGTTGCAGGTTTCCTCATAGATTTTCCACAGAGATAACATGTATCCTAACTGTGATGTCTTAAAGTTGTCTTCAAATTGCACTTGTACTCTTAAAATAATTTTTGTTATGCAGATTATCTCCTACAAAAACTATTGTGATATTTCTTTTTTTTTTTTTTGATACAAACCTCAATGTGGTCATATTTGAGGCATTGAAAAACAGAAGGTGGTTTGTCTTGCCCTACCTTAGAAAGCAGGGTGTTGAAAGGCAGTATAGGGAAACATGAGGAAGATTTACAGCTTCTTCTATGCAACCTGCAGATTCTGACCATAAATCATGAGGGAACAGTCTTCTCTTACCTAATATTAGGCCTTCCCACACATATTTGTCGAAGTAGTTTTTCCTCAAATGTCAAACATAGCTCTTAAGCATTGTGTTTAAAATTTAAATGCAATAGTAAACATTAACATTGAAATGCCATGTCTGATTTAGAGATAAATAGCAAGATTAGTGGGGCACTGAAGTCTGTGTGTAGTCTCAGGCAGCTGACTAATGAATGAGCAGACTGGTAATTCCATGGAATCTCAGGTCTATCCAACATGAAGGAGCAGCTTTGTCTATCAATACATATACAAACAGACATCTTATGCCAAGGAATAATAAATCTACATTCTTGCATGTTATCCAGCATCTCTGTGACTTATAGTACAAAATGCATGCCTTTATTTTTATTTTCAAGATGAAAGATCAGCAAAATACAGCCAGGAAAGCTTTGCTCTCTGGGTAGGAAGCTGGAATTTTAACTCTTGATATGGATGTTTTGCTCTGTATTAGCAATATATCAGGCGATAGCTGCCACATATTCTCTTCTTCTTGCTAATATACTATATGTACATATATATGTCCTGACTGTTTAACCTTCACACCAGAAGTGAAGAATAACAAGTTAAACACATCTGATTGTCAGCTCTGTTGGGCAATACAACTGGGCAAGGTTGTTACTTAAGGCAGCGTAACCTGAGAATGTTAGAGATAAAAATGTGGTTTGACCAGACAGAGTAAAAAGAAAATGTTTGCATAATACATTTCCATCTGGACAAGAACTGAGTTGTCGCTTATAACAATGTAAACAAGCCTTTACTTGTAATACGCTGTCCAGGTTCATTGCTAAATCACTTTCAGGGGATGAGATGGAGTTATAAAAGATATCCTAGTACAAATCTTCATACCAGTTGATACCAGTGTGATGTAGTACTAATGAGGAAGGAGTGGACTTCCGTGGCAACTGCTGTTGCTACATTCTGTTTCTCTGCATGATCGCAGCAGGGATAAAAATGACAATTTCCACTTTTTTGTAAGCCACAAAGGGAAACAATATGGTCTTGCTTGTCAGGACATTGGGAGAACAGTTACTCTCTATTTTCCACATGATGAAGTAGCAAACGATATTTATATCTCTCTGGTCAAGTCCAGAAGCAATGGTCTCTTTCACTCCACACTTTAAGGACACTCCTACCACTCCTCTCTCACACTGCTGTTCTTTGTTTTGCATCAGAGCACAGAGGGTGGGACAGGCTCTGTTCAGTCTGCTGATGTTATTACAAGAAAGCCTAGTGCATGCATTCACTCTGGGTAATGTTGAATAGTAGAGAGTTTATGCATCAATAGGAAGTGCTGTAACAAGAAGCAAGAAAGAAACTTGCTCTCAGAAAGCCTCTATACACAAAGTTATTTAAAGAGCCTTTGTTTTACATTGTGAGAGAGTGGTGTGTGGTTTAGGAGAGTCTTGGTGCAGGCACTGGGGATTACAATTCCTAAATCAAAACACCGTCCAAAGGGATATCCCATGCCATACCATACTGTGTGCTGCAATAAAAGTTTAGCCTTAAGATAAAAAAGAAAGGACTTTTTCAGTTACAGAATTTGTCTTTTAAGTAACAATTTTATGTGATGGAGCCCTGCTTTCCTGTAGGTGACTGAACATTGACTTCCCAATGGAAACTAGTGAATTAATTCCTTATTATGTTTTGCTTGCATATTGACCTTTGCTTTATCTATTAAACTCTCTTTAACTCAACCCATGATTTTTATCACTTTTATCATTCTTATTCACTCACCCATCACTGTGGGAGAGTGAGGAAGAGGCTGCGTGGATGTGAGCTGCTAGACAGGCTTAAACCACAGCAGAAGCTGCTATCAATCTAGCAACATATTCTTGTGCTGCTTCTTTGGGTAGTACTACTTACTAAATTGATCAAGAAAGCATTAAAAAAAAATTCAGACTGTGGTGACAGTGGGAGGGAAGGATTAGTTAAACCAGACTCATCTTTGTTATACTGCATTTCTAAGCTGCATTTCTCAGTTCCTGATACGAAAACATTCTGTCGGCTTCATTATCTGTGTAGAACTTCAACTGCTCCACGGTCATTTCAGTAATAAGTTTGCTATCATTATAATTCTTTCTGACCACTTTTAGGTGTAATTTTCAGGTCTTTTCTGTGGGCACAAGCCAAGTTTTAAAGGCTTTAACACTTTTTGTGTGATGTTGACAGGCGGCGGCAAGTCCCCTAGGCAGATAGTTGAAATTACTGCAATGACATGTCTTTAGTTGCTGAACTTGCTGTCACTTACAGTTTCATTACTGTGCATGTGCTCTAATTGCTTCCCAAAAAGCCTGTCATTTGCATTTCATGTTCAGAATCCAGTATTCATTTTATTCCTGGCTGTTGTATAAACCTTGAAGAGCTAGAAAAGCAACATGTTTCTCTATGAAACTTATGAGGTTGGCAAGGTATTAAAAAATAATATTTTTGGTCACAAATATCTTTTATTTCTTTAAAACTCATGAAGAAAACTTTTTTTTTTTCTGGGGAAATAGAAATTGGTCAAAAAGAAATCAAATGTCTTAGTGATATCCAGAGACAAAAGTTGGCCAAGAGTTATGCATTGAGGTGTTTGAGATGCACTTTTGGATGGAAGCTGCATGAGACTTGACAGATTTTATTCAGGATAAATAGTGAATTCTGACTGCTTTATATCATGGACCTCAATGTATTTTACTAATTCAGCTAAATCTGACAGTCAAACCAGGATTAAATCACCGCTTCATGTTAGATTTCAAAAAAGACAGAAAGAAAGACCAAAACTAAAGGTTTGCTCTGATCAATTTCTAAAAAAGTCACCCAGGTTTAATTAAACTGCTGACAGTTTGGAGTATTTTGATCTTAAATCCATTTTGGTGTGTGATATTACAGATCTGGTCTTGTTTCACAATTTTGATTTTAAGACTCTTTTTAAGACTCTAATGCCTTGTCCTGGCATTTTATTAAAAACAATTATGTTGCTTGTTTTTCAGAAGCATGGGTGCAAAGTGACAACCTTTCAGGCTGGCAAGTTAAAGATTCACTACGAATCGATCCTAGAACTAAACCACAGACCACCAGGCACTCCACTGGTCCTCTACCAGGCAGTGTAATTGATTACTCAGAAGAGGTACAGGAGCATCCATCATGTGTGATTGAAAGCGTGGTGGAAGACACACCTGAGGAGGGTAAGTAGTAATGGCAGTGCCTCAGATGTTTGGAATGAGATGGTACTTCACTGCTTTCCACAAAAATTGGTGGTAGTATCTGTATTGTAGGGTCACAAAAGCAGAACTGTATAAACGTTATAGCCCACATTGTCGTCAGTGGTGATATACCTTGAATATGGATAAAACTCAGTATAGACTAAATGGAAGGGCTCCTGTCATGATTCAGTTTATAGCTTTTGGACATGATCTTCAAGCTCCTCATGTACAACAGATGCATAGTGGCTTTGTGCCTGTTAAAACGAAAGCCATCAGAACAGGACTAGATTATTTATATGGTCTACACCTGTAACTTCTAAAACAAAGTGTGCAATCTCTCTGAAAACTGTCAAAAACTACAGTTGTAGTTATTCAGAAATAGTAATGTGGCTGCCTAGACTCTGCTGGATGCTTTCATTGTAGCTGTAATGTGAGAAAGGAGAGGCCTCTGTTTTGAGGAGCCTTACACTCCAAGGGAACTAAAGTGCAAGGAGCTGTCGTAGCCAGAGCACCCTTTGGGAGCAGTCTGACTGCAGGCAATGGAAAGAAGTGCAAAGAACTGCTAGAGGTGTCTCATCCCTGCCACTCCACAGAGTTCTGTGTGAGTTAACACACAAGAGGTGTGAAAAGGAATGGTCAGTAACTTGGAGAGTCACATGCTCTGTGAAATGCTAAGTTAAACAGAAGACATACAGACTGATTTTAGCATTCATTAATTAACCAGTTGGAGTTTCCAATATTTTTCTTCCCAATGGTCTGTCTAAATTGAAGACAAACTTTGCAGTTGCAGCAGTACATGATATACTACTGTATTTTTTAACTTAGAAATGAAATCAGGATGTCTGATTAATCTTCATACTAAGGAAAATATAGACCCTATGCTCTTAGCCTGAAAGCATTGATGCATAAGTAGCTAATTTTGCCCCAAGTAGGATTATGTGAAGTGAAGGGCTGCTAAGAGTCTCCAAGATGGCAGAAAGAAAACAAAATGTGCACCAAAAGGATGTAGATGCAAGACATCAAGTCTGTTTGAAAGTAGCTGTTCTATACAGATATTGTGTCCTTCAAAGACGTTACTCTCAGAACAAAAGCTGACATTTTTTTATCTGTAATCTATAGCAATGAAAAGGCTGAATTCAAGAAAAAATAATAGCTTGAGCCAAGGGTGCTCTTTTCAACATGTATTTTATGCATTTCATAAATCACCAAAACTGGATCTTGAAAAACAAGACTTTTATGGCTGTACCTGAACAGGAAGGACTGATGATCCACCTAGTAGCTGGACAGTCTGCATTTTAGAATGGTGCATCCACTTACAGTTCAGCTAGTCAAAAAAAGACATCCTGACACAGGTATTTGTTAGTATAAAATCATTGCAGTATGTAACTAGAATTGTGTTAGGAGCTCAGGAAAGGTATACATTTATATTTCCCCAGTGCAAAAAATTTCTCAAATTCTGATAATTTATTTGACCAATGCAGAGTCAGATGACGTCTTTCAGACACTGTTTTCTTTCACATCAGAGCACTTGAAGGTGTTGTGGCTTGGTTTTGTCTCAGCTCAGTGCTGAGTGCATCCAGAGCTCTCATACCTATCAGACACACCTCATGTAACAATGTGATACCGCCCAACCTCTTAACACACACGCACACATACAATCACATTTTCCAAGTTATTAGGCAAAATCCAGTTTATTTTGTAATTTTTCAAAACAACATTTTGAAAACATTCCTACAGAAGATGAGAAAGAAGTCCAGAATATAGGCTTTGCATTCAAAATCTCTGTTTTCAGGATCACGTGGAACCATTCAAGTCTCACACAAGTCCTTACATAGCCTTCTTATGCTTCTGGTTTTCTCAATTACTTCCCAGTCTCTGACATCTGTGTAATCCTTTTAATTACTTAAAACACTTCTTAGGCAAAGACAATCAAAGCAAGAATGTCAATGATTTTCACAATATTTTAGCACTTGAATTTTTGTTAACAGATGGAGAGGGAAACTCATGGTTGCACAAGCTTGGAATTAATATAAACAAGTGGTCATTTCTGAATTGCCTGATTGGATGGAGTGAAGACAGAACTCAAGAGAAAGGTATATTTACAAAACTAGTATTATTCTTGCTTTCTGGAAGAGATAATACTTAAAGAAAAAATAGAGTTTTATTCCTTTTTCCCCTTGTATGTGAGCTCTGATTGAATTTACCTGTGTTACTTGGATTTTCAAATAAAGTTCTTTAGCTTAGATATACACAAGTTACTATTCCAGGTAATTACATCAATAATTTTTAACTTATACTCCTGTTAGTTAATAATGATAGTGGGTTGGGATACTTAAATTAATATTCCAATAGAAAGTCAGCTCTGTATTAAGCCAGAGCAATCTGATTGGGAAAAAAAAAAAGTAATTTTATGTTCTTATTTACCAAAAAGAAAGATTAGAAAAGCAAAATTTGTATCATACTCTGATAAAAAAATTTGTCTATCAAATAACTTGTAAAAGGTAGTTTCTTAGGATAAAAAGTGTCATCTTAGTTGTGGCAAAAGATAATTTTCTTAAGAGGCAACATGTTTCTGCATGGGTTTTTAAACCTGATTTTTAATTTTTAGTTTTAATGACATACATATATGTAAGTAATGAATATCAGTGTATTCAGGAACAAGTAATTGTGAAATGTAAGTTTGTATGGTGTCCCAAGACAAAAGCTGACAAGTTTGAGTTGCTGTATTTCTCCTCTATTTTGTTATTTGAGGGGCCTATTTTGTTATTAGAAAAAAATAAAAGGTAGCCAATGCCATTAATAAAAAATTTTAAATGTAATATGCATATGTGAAGTTGCAGTGCATTTTAGTTGATAAGGTAAATTTTGTTTTATACCAGATCAATTTACCACATCTGGAGTTTCTTCTGCTGCTGATCATAAAGCAACTGAGCTGGAGGAATGTACAGCCAAAAAAGTGCCATACATTCCATACAGGTTAGCTACACTGCATATCATCAAGGTAAGAAAAAATTAAAACAAACATCCCCTTCCCTCAAAGAAAGTCCCCAGTGATTGGATAGTTTACAATATTTTAAAAATTGACAGTATTTTTATATATTGACAGATAAGCAAGAATCTCTTTCATTAGGATAAACTGGATGAATTGTCATAATCACTGTCATTGAATAAACTCAATTCACACAATTCACACCTTTTGCTCTGCAGGATGGCTTTTTGATTTGCATTTGGAAGCCTGCAGTTAAATTTTGAATATTGATATAAAAATGCAAACACTAATATCAAAGTGCCATCTTAACTTAGATCAGATTGTAAATTGCTTAAATGCCTTTCCCAGGTTGGTGTCTAAAGATGAAAATTCCCTTGTAACTGTGTTTGGAGGAAATCCTTGCCTTCTTATATACATTTTTCAGCATTTTTCTTCATTGCTGGAAGTGGTATGTGACTGGAAGTGTGAGGGTTCTTTTCCTATTATAATATTTTTGGTGCCAGAGACTGCAATAACTTCTGATTTTGTATTTAGATTTATTTAATTTATGGAACATCATGTGTGTGCATTCGTCTGCATATAAAATAAAAACAAATGTACGTATATCCTGGTTTAATGGTTTCCTTGCTTTATTTTTTTCCACTAGATATGGTCTTGTATTCTTGGTCTTTTAGTATGAATCAAAAATGTTCAGTGGTGATTTCTTTTGTACAGACTACTTAAAGACTGCTGAGCAAGCTGTAAGACACAAGTAAAATACCTGAAGCAAATTACTAAAATGACTCAGACCTCTGTGGGTGATGAGATCTGGAGCCCCATCTGGAGCTTTTCAGTCCTCTCAAAGAGGCTTTTCTTTGATTGTGTCTCTTTAAAATTTCTCTACTTCCACTGTAGTTTTTGTGGATGAGGTGTAAATAGGAGAGTATGTTTCAAGACTGCATCGCTGCTTGGTTGCTTTTATGTCATTTGAACTGTGACAGTGTCAGCTGGTAGAGGTTCCTCACCCCCAAGCCAACTGCTTGTAAATATTAATAAATATTTAATCTGTCGGCCTAGATCCATGCCAACAACCACAACTATTTTCAAATAATGCATCAGCCGCAATAAATAATCTGAGACTTTATTATTTTTGTTTTGATTGGGCTGAGCTACTCAATGTCAGCAGAATCTGCATCATGTGAAGCTTAAGTGAAGAACTGAAACTGGGAAATCTCTAGAAAAGTTCTAGATTTTTATAATTTACATATGGTCATGTTCATTACTGCTGTAATTGACTGAGCAGTATCTGTTAATCTCGTTCATGTGTCAGTGCAATTTGACATTGTACCTACCAGATAGCTATGTCAAATAAAGGTGGACAGCAGAAGCTAGGACAGGAGCTGGTGTAATTTTCCTTTAGTGACTATTATGAATTGATTTAAAACCAAAATTCATTAAAGAGGAACCTGATGCAATTTAAAGCTTAAATGGTTCACTTTCAAACATGAAAATACTCAATTTGTCCATCCTTGATGTACACATCTGTATTTATTAGTCATTAAAACTGCCAGTGTACTTAAAGTTATATCAATTTTGTAGGATTTCAAATTATTTTAATGAAATACAACATAGAGTGTATTCTTTAACCACTTTGCTTTTCTAACTCTTAAATGAGAAAATGCAATCTTCCCCACTGATTGCCTTTTATCCCCAGTTATAGGCCTCATTATGCTATTCTTATATTTTCAAAAACTTAACAATTGTTATAATGACTATGTCTTCCATTTTCTATTTAGATCACATTAAAAAGGAAGAAGTGAAGGTACAATATAAGGACCAAAAGAGAAATTCTATTTCAAGTTATTCCCAGACTTTCATTCAATAGCATAACATATTTTCTAATATTGAAGGTTGAAAGTGTTGGCCTGTATTTCTACTGGGTACTTATCTCTGGTTCATTGCAGCTGGAGTTGGTAGTGCTCTGAGTTTGTAATTTCCTTCTTCCTTCTGCTCTGAGTTTACAATTTCCCTCTTCCTCTACAGGTTGTAAAAGACATGCAGCAAATGAAGAACAGACACATGAAGATAATCAGAAAACTAGATGATATGAGGAAAGAAAAGGAGGTAATTATATTGGAGCATTAGAACTCTTGACCATTAACCAGTGATACAGAGAGATAAAATCTCCTTCATTCACAATTAAATATCCATTCCTGTACCATTCTTCACATCTGTAAATAATACCAGTGTATCTTGAAGTGTATTTTATCTTACAACTTTGTGAAGTCTGGTTTTACTTTTTATTTGGCACAATGGCAGACATTTTTGTAAAATGTATCTGTTACTAAAATTTTCTCTTAATAACACCTTCATGTCATGACTGGCACCATGGTTTCAACGTTTGCATTTCTGTAGGCTGTGCCTCTCAAGAATGACTGCATTGCTAAGGCCTGTGCCAGGCTGTATTGCCTTTATGGCTTTTTATTTTTCTGTGTGTGTTTTTTGTCAACTTTTTACTTAGCTTGGTTTCAGCCTAGCAATATTTTTTTAATGTTGTTTATAGCATAACAGAATCTCTTCACCTGTAAACTCCTTCAAGGTGACAATAAGGATCCAGAGGTGCCATTCCTGTGACCTAAATTCCACAATACCTCTCTATCCTTAGTGGAAGTATTTGTTTCTCTAAAAATATTTCTAAAATATTTTTAGAATATTTTTGAAAAATATTCTAAAAATAGAATTTTTTTTTCTATTTATATAGTGGAATAATTTCTGGAATAATTTCCATCAGTCAATAATTCTCCCAAAAAGATGGAATTACCTACATCATCTTTTGCTACTCTGTCCCAGAATGTTTTCTCGGAGTTACAGCTTCACGATTCTGTTTATTTGTCACACATTCTCCTTTTCTGATCCATAGTAAGACAGGAATTCTGCTCCTATGAAGAACAATGCTTTCCACACAATTAAAGTTTACTGTGGGCACTCAGAAAGAGGAGATTCAGGAATTCCTCTAAAGCCACCAAGGGGAAGTGAGCAAATTCTTCTGACTGTCAAGTAAAATCTAGAGAATTTCTTGTCTGTCATGTACAAAGGCTATATACCCTTTAGTGTAGAATCTAGAGAATTTCTTGTCTGTCATGTACAAAGGCCGTATACCCTTCATATTGTTCTCAGGTTGTCACATCTGTACAAGCATTGTATACCAGTGTAAATCCATTTCTGAATTTTGATAGGGATGTAACCCTGACAGAGTCACATCTTCCACTCTCAGCTAATCACAGATCACTAAGGGAAGAGAAAGGGAACAGGGAAGAACACAGACACAAGAAACAACAGCATCCTGGGCAGTGATGCAAACATTATGCAATGATCTTACTTCACAGAATTGCTGTCATTTTGGTTGCAAAATTGGTGTGGATTTTTTTTTAATGCTACTTCAACACTTTCCTTGTCTGAGCTAAGTTTAATTCCTTTAAAATTGCTTAACTTTGCTTAGGCAAATTCCTCTGAGAAAGGCTTTGGTTTTTTATTTCTGAAGAAAAATACATAAAATATATGTTATTTTAGCAGTAAGTTTTGCTTGAAGTCTGCAATGAATGACAGTACAAACCTCCTGTGATCACTGGTAAACGTTCACAGACAATAAAAAACATTGAATGAAGAAAAAAAGAGAACCCAAAATGGAAACTGTTTCCTTTATTGTGCCTGACTTCCTGTTCTCATTCACTATTAATTTTCTCAATAATTTTTTGTTGTAAAGGAGGAGACTATAACTACTATAAAGAAACATTACAGTGAGAAAATGAGGTGTCTGAAATCCCACTTAGAAGCTTACCAAGAGCTGATGACCAAGAGCAACTTACACTGGCAAGATACAGTTAAGGTAAACAAGTATTTCTGTTTCACATGGGGATAAGCACAGCAGGTATTTACAGAGGTTGCAGGAACAGGCCTTATAATTAATGCTCTGTTATGGACAGACAGTTAAATGAAGACATGCAGTTTTTAAAATTTTAAAATAAGCTATGGTTTTCTCATTCTGGAGATGAATACAGCTTTGCACAGTATACTTTCAAATCAGTTTTCATAGCTTGGCCTAGCTGTGCTATGCACTTGGAAGTAGATTTGCTGTCATGTAAATAATGTTTGAAGGATATTCCTAGAAAATTTAGGATGTGTGCTGCTTATTTGGTGATGAATAGATATTAAGGTTTATCCTATTCCTTATTTCTGTTTTGCTACTAAGGAAAAGGTTCAGAGTCCTCAAGCATTTAGAAAGAGTCTTTAGAAACACAGTACCTCTGGCCATAGATGGTCATTGCTAAATGAGGAATTTTAATTTTTTTAAATCCACAGGCCTTAGCAGCCTGGTCCAATATTATGACTTTTCAAGGCGTAGAACAAAAAAACTGAAACTGGATGCCTTTCTGAAAAATAGTGTTGCAATTCTCATCCCTTTTGCCCTATTTTACTGCCTTCAGAACCTAAGATTAAAAAACAGACAACTGATCCAAGAGAATGAAGATATTCTTTACCAAATGAAACAAAGAACAGAGAACTGGAGAAAAGAAAAGGTAAAGAAACAGAGTTTGTGTTTTCTTTTTCTTTTTGGAGTCAGATGGTGTTCTTGCTATTGTTTCCAGGGTGTGCTCTTTACCTGCATGTATACTTTTAGATATGTACATCTAAACTGGTGAAGATTAAACTACTATGCACGTGCTTTCTTCTTTTTTGATAAAACTGTATGTTTTTGTCCTAAACAGCAAAAAAGATGGCATATGCTGTTTTGTCTTACTATATTTTTCTTTCCACTTAAAATTATTAGATGGTCATTTCTCCTGCATTCCATATTTTATGTCTTTTTTTTGAAGAATTTTAAAATTACACTACAGCACATTGCTTCTTCCTTGTTTAGCAATTAAAATTAAAAATCAACAAAAGCATGTCATTGTCTACATTACTGCAATATTGCATTTCAGCTGGCTGATAGCAGCAAAACTACCTTATTTGGTGTTTCTCATTAAAAACTCCTTAAAGCTCCTGAGGCTTTCCAAATTTATCTGTAGTAATGGCACTTTAATTTATTAATAGCCTAGGTGTAAAAAGCAAAAAGAAATTTGTTGGGTTTGTCATCGACAGCCTTGGTAAGCATGGCCTGATATTTGTTATTTTCTGCCCAGGGTTCTGCTCTGTTCAATATGTGCAACTCTCCCTTTAGTTTTGCAACGCTGTCCTGTTACAGACAGCTTTTGTTGCAGCTCTCCAAGACACGAATTCAGGAAGATCTTACCCCGCCTTGGGCTTGGGAGGGTTCTGGGGGCCCAGTCTGTCAGGGAGATTCTTCTTTAATTTGTGAAACTGAATGCAGAGCTCCGTGTGATTTCTGAGCGAAGATCTTGGGCAAGAGTTTTAGTTTCTCTTCTCAAGTGTCCTAGCACCACCTTCCGTTTAAATTCTGCATGGCACCAGTATTTATAGCGAGGGTTTTCACTTTTCAAACACATTGAGCCATGCTCACCGCTGTAATATCCTATGCCTTATGGAGAAACTGCATAAAACCTGTGGGGCTTACAAATCTTTTGACCTAATTATTATATGTCGAGGAAATGTAGCAAAAGTATTATAATGAAGCGTTAAAAGTGATGAGGATACTATGTACTAAGGAAGAAGGAATATTTTGTGTTAGCCCGCACAATCTTTTCTGCAGGGTTGCCATAGGAATCCTTCCAAAAGCTTTTGTGATTCAACTGTTTCGGGAGAATCAATAATTTTGTCACTCTTATCATTTAAGCAGTGTGGACAAAGGCCTAAGAAAGTATAAGCAGAGGACCCCTTGATTGAGGCTCATGTGAAAACTCTGGTGCCTGAGCTGTCTCTGGTTTATTTCTGTATTTTCCTGTCCAGCGAGATCCAATTTTACTGCTCAGTAGCCCATTTTTGTTTGTTCTACACATAAGCAGAAACAACATTATTTCCTTATCATCGATTATTCTCCCCAAGGAAATATAATGAAAATTGGTAGAGTGTTATTTCCTGCTATTCTTTCTTTGTCTTGCAGGTCTGGATTATAGAAAATTTGTGTAAAAAGCTAGATTACCTTTATACACAGCACACACTGAGTAAGTGTTTCAGATGCAGAGTTTCTTGATCTGTTTCTGTTTCTTCCCTGTTTGCTCTTTTTTTTTACACTAACTAAGCTGCATACCTGCTGAAGTCAATATAAGTATTTCCTGTTCAATACTGTGTGTGCAGGTGGAATAATAAAAGAATGCTGAAGCTACAAATACTGCCTGTAGTAACTCCAAACTACTCAGCACACTTTGCTTTTTACCATCAGCATAATTTCTCAGTAGGTTTATTTCAACACTTGTTGCCTTTCTTTTGAAATGTAAAGTAAAACAAAGCATGAGTGCTTAAAAATTCTTTGAGTTTAAATAAATAAAAATGAGTTATTGATGAAAATGAAATATTAATTATTAAAAAATATTGGCTTGTGACAAATTCTTGATTTCTAAAGAGAAATAATTTTACAGAGACAGTATTGTTGGAACTGCAGATTAGAAATGCTGAAGTTATTCTTACCTGGTTTTCTATTGTTTCAATTCAGCTTTACAGGAACTACACAACATCAGTTTACACATGGAAAGATTGCAAGACCTCATGAATTTCCAGATAAAAAATCTTCAACAAAAGTCTGAAAAGGCAGGAGGAGAAAATTCAGATATGTCAGAGGTTTTAATATTAAAAACAGACAAAGTGAGCACAAAAATGTAATTTTAACTGGTGGTTTATGGGATTGCAGCAGGTATTTCAAAGTCAATCAGGCTGATTCTTTCAAAAGCTGAAATCAACCATGGGTAAAACTGAAAGTAATTAAGGTGTGCAAACATATACATGGCTTGAGAATTATACATTTATGATGAATGATTAAAACATCACAATAATGAAACAAACTCATTGGTTCTGGAATCACCAATAGTGTGCTATGGTTGTCATTACATATTTGATAGCAGACGGTTTGCTAGAAAATGCTTTTAAGTACCCACCTCTTTGATGTAAAATGACTATATTATAAACATTGGAACCAAAGAAATCTTCTTATTCAGTATTTCATTTGCTTTTCTTCATTTCTGCTCCACCTTACTCATTAAATTCTCAGTAGTTTTGTATGAAAGCAATCAAAATTTAGATCTTGGTTTAGTGTGTAAGAGTTATCTTTTGTGCCTGCAGGCAGCTGATGAAGAAAGGAAGATTGACTGGTCAGTGGAAAAGGAATATCTTTGGCAAACACACACCATCCTGCAGGAGATACAAGAATCTTTACAGAAACGAGAGAGGGAAGTCACTGAGCTCTTACAAAGTGAAAGAAGATTTAACAAGGCAATGAAACCTCAAGTGACTGTGCTAATACTCTTGAAATCTCTTATCAAGATGGTAAGAATATGGTTTCAGCAAAGATAAAATTTTATTTATTTAATGGGCTTTCTAAAAACTCCATTAAAGAAAAAGAATGCAGTTTAGTCTATAAATGTCATAGTCTTAAAAATGGCAAAATGTAATTTTGTATACGTTAATTTACTGGTAAGATTTTCAGACTATTTCACATAATTAAAGGCCAACTTGAATACTCATTAGTTGGCTTTTTTTTAAAGATAAATTTGGTTTGTCTTTATAAATTAATTTATTTAAAGATAAATTTTAAAGATAATGAAGCATGAGAATGCTATCATGGAAAAAACATGTTTTTCTAGCCTTTCAATTATGTGAACTGCATGAACTGCAACTTTTTATCCATGTTAGGTTCACACCATATATTGTGATGTTCCTGGGGCACAGCAACGCATCCATCAGCTTATCAGGAAGAATGAGGATGAAAAATCTGATCTGGAAGAAGTTTTTAATAATGCTCAGGCTGACATTCTGTCGTATGAAATATTTTGTGGGAATGAACATATGGATGACACAAGGTATATTGAATAGCTAATAAAACAAAGGTAGAAATAACATAGAAAATAATGAGCTATTTTCACAGAGAGAAAAATATATTTTTAAGACTGCTGTTTTATTTCTATTTATAGGGGGAAGGTATTAAAGCAGGGTCTACATCTATATTTTGAAAGAAATAAATAACTTAGAAATACCTTGTATAAAAAGCAGAAAAGCATCACAACTTAACTCGCTTGTGCAAGTTTTTTCCATTGTATTATAAAACATGCTGGAATAAGCTTATTTGACAACCCTGTGCTACAACATCATCATCTTTGCTTCCTACTTGTTCTACAGAAAGTTCCTTTTAAATTAGCTTTTTTACAAGTTAACTTCCTTACTAAAATCTTCTAAGGGTCTTTTTAATTACTATTTTTCTTTTTTATTTTTTTCTCTTCTTAATGATAGGACACACCTCCCAACAAAGCTTTTCAGAAACATTGGGAAAGCAAAGTCTGATTTAGAATATGTTGAAACAGAAAAAATTGTGTTTGACTGCATCCAGACAGGAGAAATCCCCAACTGGATTATAAGTGATTGTCTTTATGTAGCCTGGTCAGGTGAGAAATCCTCTTGTCAAATCACAGAAGCTTAACTATCCTCACCCAACTAATTTTTGAATACATAAAACAACAGTGCAGTAGTAAAAAGCATGTTGTTGCCATGCCTTAAGGGTTTCTATGTCACATCTTCCATTTTGTGTGTTTTAGTGAGCTACTGTATGAATTGTAATAATGGGTAATGGTTTGTAACACAGGGCTTCTGAATTTATACTCCACCATGCATCTTTTCTTTGGTATCTTTATCATTTTGATAATAGATGTCTTTTTATATTGTGTCTAAATATCTCAGTGCATCCTCTATGTAGATGCACCCAGAAACTGCCCAGATTTGGCAAACATGCACTGAATGACATAAAAAATGTGGAATTCACAAGGCAGTAACCCCCTTTCACTAAAACTTAAAAATACCCATTGCATGCATTTAACACACTGTGCTCTCCCAGTGGGACTAGCAGAAAATCTTTTTCAAATATTTGGTTTGCTTTTTCTATGATTCTGCAACACAAAGTCTGATCTAGTGACTTAAGGAAAGGAAGGCAGATGTGTTCTTGTATTTGAAAAAAAAATATTATTTCTAATTTAGAAGATTTACTGGGTTATGTATTGATCCTGTGTAATTATATAATTATGGGAACTCTCCAGAAGACCCTGCAATATGCTCTGAGGAGATAGAGTCACCATTCTGAGAAACTCATGCTGAAGTTTAAAATGGAAATCAAGGTAATACCTTACAATGTATCCCTCCACATGGTTTCAAATAAGTATTAATAATCTGATCATTCTCCTAGCTATTCTTAAGGGATTTGAGATTTGCTCTTTTTCTGTGATGTCTAAGCACATTTGCATCCAAGAATGACATAGTTTTGCTAACCAGTGAATTACAGAGTTACAGTTTTCTGTGTAAGAAAGGATTCCCATATTGTATTTTGCACCTGTATATCTATTGTGTTGTTCATGTACAAGTCTTTGTTCATCTTGGTGGCCCTTGATATCTATCACAATTTAAATGTATTAAAATCATAGAACTCTTTAGGCTGGAAAAGACCCTTGTGATCATTCAGTCCAATCATTAACCCAGTGCTGTTAAGTTGACTACCATGTCCCTAAGTGCCACATCTATATAGTTTTTTAAATACCTTCAGCTATGGTGACTCAACCACTTCCCTGTACAAAGTGTTCCACTGTTCAGCAACCCTCTACATGAAAAAATTTTCCCCAATGTCCAATCTAAACCACCCCTGACTCAACTTGTGGCCATTTCCTATGGTCCTGCCATTTGTTTCCTGGGAGAAGAGGTATTTCCCCATCTCACTCCCACCTGCTTTCATGTAGCTACAGAGAGCAATAAGGTCCCCCCAAGCTTCCTTTTGTCTGGGCTAAAAACCCACAGTTGCTTCAGTCAGTCCTCAAAAGATTTGTGATCCAGGCCCTTCACCAGCTTTGTCGCTTCTCTCTGAATGTATTCCAGCAGCTCTGGTTTCATATCTCTAATGATTTGGGATGCATCGATTCCTTGCTTATTAGTAGGTTACAAAAAAAACCACTGCCTCATGTAAATTTACATCAGAGTAAATAACTGAAAAAGTAACTGTTTGAATTGAGTTTTCTCACACTGGGCAAATGACATCCATGGGCCCTGACAGGATGTACCCATGAGTGCTGAGAGAACTGGCATAAATCATAGCAAGTCTGCTCACTATCCTCTTTGAAAGTTCATGGAGCTGGGGAGATGTGTCTGAAGACTGGAAGAACGCAAATGTCACCCCAATTTTCAAAAATGGCAAGAAGGAGAGCACAGAGGCACAGAGAATTATCACCTCAATTCGTGGAAAGGCAATTGTCTTGGTTTAGGGCAAATTTGGGAGAAAATCTCCAAAGTGGCCCCTCCCTCATCTGGTTTGGGAAAATATTTCCTTGGAGAAAAGTGGAAAACAATTTAACAGGCAAAGCATTCACCATCACAAAAAAATGAATAATATTAAACAATAAAACCTCTTGCTGCTCTGAAGAGATGACAAACTCAGAAAGTCCCATTCATGAGCTGTAGGTCAGCTCACTCAGTCTCTTCAGTCCCTCCAGTGATGGAAATGACACGGCCCAGGCCTGGCCTGGTGGGCCACAGGTGTGAGCTGCTGGGTGCTCTTCTGGGTGTTCAGTCCAGAGCAGGTTTAAACAGTTACAAGAAAAAGAAAAACCACAGCCCAGGGAACTTCTCTGCCTCAGCTAGCTAAAACTAAGTAAAAAACAAGAGAGAGCAGTCTCCCGCTGTCTGTCTGTCCGCAGACAACACAGTCCAGGACCTGGGATGTGGAGGAGTGAGTGCAGTTTCTGGAAACAAACCTCATGCTTCTTCTCTTCCCACCTTTCCATTCAGAACCAATCTTAAAGGTTCGAAACTTATTTCTGGGCTAAACAGACAAATGGGGATACAAGCATCATAAAGTCACCCCAGGACAGCAATGGAGCTCCTCATTCTGGAGGCCATCTCTATCCATGTGGAAAAGGAGGTGATCAAGAGCAGTCAGAATGAATTCTCTGAAGGCAAATCATGCTTGACCAACCCGATAGCTTTCTATGATGAAACAACTCCCTGGATGGATGAGCAGTGGATGTTGCCTAACTCAACTTCTGCAAGGTTTTCCACAGTTTCTTACAATATCCTCATAGGGTGACTCAGGGAGTGAGGACAGACGGTCATAATCAGGCCCAGGGTCAGGTTGGATGTCTGCCCCTAGAGGTGTCCCTCAAGGTTCTATACTGGGCCCACTATTGTTTAACTTATTTTTCAATGGATTTGATGTAGGAGCAAATGCCTTCTCATCCCTGAGCTGAGAGCAGAGGCTGATACCACTGCTGTGCTGTGCTTCAGAAGGACCTCCAAACAGACTAAAGAGATGGGCAGAGAAGAGTTCTTTGAAGTTCTGCAAAGGCAGATGCGGAGTGCTGCACCTGGGAAGGAAAAACCACCGGCACCAGCACAGGCTGGGGCTGACCTGCTGAAGAGCTGCTCTGTGGAAAGGGACCTGGGGATCCCAGTGGACAAGTTGTCCACGAGCCAGCAGTGTGTCTGTGTGGCCAGCAAGGCCAATGGTGTCCTGGGGTGCTTCAGGAAGAGCACTGCCAGCAGCTCGAGGGAGGTGATCCTGCCCCTCTGCTCAGCCCTGCTGAGGCTCCTCTGGAGTGCTGTGTCCAGTTGTGGCCTCCTCAGCACAACAGGGACATGGAGCTCCGGGAATGGGCCCAGGAGAGGGGTACAAAGATGGGTAAGGAACCAAAGCATCTCTCTTATGAGGAAAGGCTGAGGGAGCTGGGCCTGCTCAGCCTCAAGGGGAAAACTGAGAGGGGCCTTATCAATGTCTGCAAGTACCTGAAGGGAGTATGCCAAGAGGATGGAGCCAGGCTCTTCTTGGTGGTACTGAGCAGTAGGACAAGGGACAAGGGGCAGAAACTGATGCACAGAAGTTCCACCTGAACAAGAATTCTTTACTGTGCAGGTGACTGGAAGATTTCGTCCAGAGAGGATTTGGAGTCTTCCTCAGTGGAGATATTCAGGAACCATCTGGACACAATCCTGTGCCATGTGCTGTGTGGTAACTCTGCTTGAGCAGGGTGGCTGGACCAGATGACCCATTGTGGTCCCTTCCAGTCTGGCTCATTCTGTGATTCTCTGCTGAAATTGATCCAAATATATATGTTAAAATGCATCAAAAGCCAGAGTGCACTAATGCATTTATGATATTTCAATTGTTGAATCCCAAAGTGAATAGGTTCAAAATTACATTAAATAATTGCTTACACTACATAGACACTAAGATAACAACCATCATGTCAAGTTCATGTAGAGAAATTCTTAATTGGTAAATGTAGAATAAAAATTATAAATTATATTTTTTACTAATTTTTATTTTTGTTGTTTGTTGCATTTTTATGTTTGGTTTTGTTTTGAGTTTGTAGGTTTACCAGGTAATGAAGAACCACTGAAGATACCAACACTGAAACAAGCTCCCTGTTTTAGCGAGAAGCACTGGAGAGAAAGCTTGACACACAAAAGCACTTTCTGCAGTATTTTTTGAGTGGACAAAGAATTGGAAGCATTCAATACATGTGGTTCACTAAAAATCAGAAAACTTGTGGAGACATTTAAGTGTTAAAAATTTTATGCTTTTTAATAAACATTTTAAAGAAATCTTCTAAAGGAAATTAACAAAAAAACCAGTGTAGCAATGACCTGAAAATCTGTGACTAAGCAACAGAGTATTTGAGTCAAACAGGTACAGTTCTGTTGCAAGTGGATGGGGTATATAAGTTTCTGCTGTCTAAAGTAGGGCATTTAACATGCCCCCACAAGCAATACTGCCCCTAAGGGCACCTGTGAAGCACAAACCTCCAAAATTAACTTTGCTCTGTCCTACTTCAAATTATTTAGTCATTGTTTTAAAGTGCTGGCTTTTATACCATGATATGTGTTCCAACTTTTCACACTTTCTCTTTTGTTTGTTTAATTTCTTTTGTTTGTTTGCTTGTTTAAATAAAAGATTAGATTAAAAAAGTCATAGATAGGAAGAAAACTTTAAAAATATAAACTTCTAAAATGTCATGTTAATAAGGGGCAAATGAATGTGAAGATGGTGGTTGTGGAAGACAACAACTTGTCTCTAACAAGCAGTTGTTGAAGATGATAATGCTAAGTTCCTGGAAGTAAATGCACACTGGAAATTTAAATCCCAAATGTGTGCTTTTAGAGTTGGGTTGAGATTATATTGTTGTCTGTTAAGCATGTGTACCTGGAGCTGAGTGGTTTATTTGAACTACTTAGCTGCATCATGTACCACATCATAAGTTGAAAAAATGTTGTATTCAAGCACTGATCTATAATTCAAATAGTAACATTCACAAGCTTTATTTTTTTCTTACTGCATGTCAGTTCATAAGGTGCATCTTCTAGGTATGAATTATCTATCCAGAAAGAACACTCTGTATGGATGAAACATCCCTATGACAGTGCTTTTGTGCAAACAAATTGAGGTGTACTTGTCACTGTCCTTGTGGGAACTGTCCTTCTGGGAACTGTAGTACTGGGAACACAATGTTTGTTTCCGAGTGCCATTACTGTTCTCAGGGCATTTTGCATTTGAATCTTAGAGTGCACTGTGAGACAATCTGATGGGAATGCAAGAGAAAAGAAACAAGGACTTAGATGTCACTGAAATGTAGATGTATTATGGTGAGGATGCTGTAGAGAAAAACAGCTAGAGTGGAAAGGGAGGGTGATCTTGAGTGCTTTGCTTGAACATGCCACTCCAAGATGCATCAACACTGATTGATAAGCCCAAGGTTTAGACAGGACTGAGCCTGTTCCAGTCCACCACAGAGAGATAGATAAAACCTAAATATTTATAAAAGCTATATAAAATCTATATGTTGGATATACACATAGACACTCTTTGATTTTTTATGGCTGTTAGAATTTTGATTTTTTGGTAATGAGACAGTTAAGGCCAGTTTTAAATCAGCTTTGAAGAATGGAAGTCATGTAGTAAGCCAGAACACTGTTTTAAGTGAAAGGAGATTTTTGAGGTGTCGTTCAGCTATCGAACTGTATAATGCAAAGTAATTGAACATTTATGTATAGAAGTGTAAAATAAAATATAAAAAAAAATTAAATTTTTTTATTAACTTTATTATT